TTTGTATGAGCACTGAAGAGCTGAGATGTAGTACTGAAAAATGTGTCTTTTAAAGGAAGATAGTGATAGTGTAAGCTGACTATGGTGCAGATTCTAGTGGCCCTAATCATGAAAGATTTCTGATATGTTGAGGATTTTAAAACGGTTGGTTGAATTTGTTGCCACTGTTACTGTTATTGTTCCTTGTTGATTTGATAGAGCGAGAAGCAGATGGTAAGCTTTAGGAACGAGCTTGGTTAAGCCTGTAATAGCTTTGAAAACGAATACCATGCCCAGATACTCATGCCAGTAACATGGGGGAAGAAGGTTTGTTTTTATTATCTTTTCCTGGTACTAAGTGATTTCGCAAAAATATGGAAGATTCAGGATGAGTTTAATTGCCCATCTTTGCTAAAGTTTGGAGCGCCGTATCAGTTCCGCTGTTTGAGGAGCTAATACTTGTGTTGCGAAGCCCAGGTGGAGGCGTACGATGGTCAGGTATAGTGTGCTTCTAGTTGGTAGTGACATTATATTTCTAGCCGAGCGACGAAGATACCCCAAGAGCTGGTTAGCTTTACCACTCTGTGTCAGGACTTGTTTTTTACCACGATAAGTCGGGGGAAATCCAAACTCCAAGGTCGCGTTCTTCATTAGATCGTTCAACAAAGGAGGACCCCCATAAAATATGGATGAAATATTTAGTTCTTTCTCCGGCTTATTAATTGTACTTTGCATTTCTTTACATTGAATGTAAGCTAGATGTTGTTGACAATCATAAAGCCCGTCAAGGTTTTTCTGCAAAAGGGCTAGTAGAGTCAGTGTGGCTTGAGAGCTGCAAACGCTGCTACGCTACCGGAGGATATTAATTCATGTGCGTTATTTGTGTAAAGTAGAAATAACATCGGACCAAGAATGAATCCTTGTGGGACACCATAAGTTACTGATAGGACAGTAGAAGTAGCTCCAAGCAAGGTAACTTGTTGTTTACAACCACTTAGGTAAGACTGCAATCAAACTCAACCAGAGTTGGATGTATTACCACTGAAGCCATAATGACGAAGCTTGTCACTAAGCTGCAGATGAGATACATTGTCAAAGGCCTTGCTTCAACGTATCAAGATAGATCATGTCAATTTGGTTTCCACGGTCAAGCTGGCTTCCAATGTGGTTAAGAACTCCTATAAGCTGAGTAGTGCAAGATCTACCTGATAGGAATCCATGTTGAGTTGTGTATCAAACTTGTTACTTGATCAATCATAAATAAGCTTGATAGTGTTGAGTAGCTTCATGGTGTGAAGATGGCAACGTAAGCTATTGATGTCAGCATGGTAATAATCGTACACAAATCTTTTGCACTTTGGGAGCCGAGGTACCGACGCCAGAAGATCAAAAAGTATGATGCAGTGAAATATGAGAGAGACTGGGTATTAGGAACTGTTCTCTTTGACAAACAATCTTTTGCACGCTTCGAGGCGAGATCACCTGGCTGTTTATAGCCATAAATTTAAGAGAAACCTGATTTTAAAATCATTTTTAAATGTCTTTTTTTTTCCCCTTGACGACAGGTTTTGGGAATCGATTACAGCGCTCGTCTCGTTGACACTGCTCTGAAACTCCAGAAAGAAGGGAGAGTAAAACTAACAGATTACGATTCCTCGGTGTACATCCCTGACAAATCACGTGCAGAAAGAATTACGTTCAAACAGGTTCAAACAGTTTTTTCTTGCACAAAAACTTTAAGTTAACTTTAAGTCTTTTATTTACTGCGGTTTTACATATTCTACGAACTCAGACATTCCAACGGCTCGTTGTGAAATAGGTTTTTCGCTGCCGTCAATCGAAAACATGAAAGGTGCCGACTAATTAGTTTTGATAGACGGTAGCAAAAAAACCCATTTCACAACAACCATTGGAATGTCTGAATTCGCACAAGATGTTTCTTTTTTCGTTTGTTGTTTCGGTTTGTTTTTGTTTTTGTTTTCTTCTTTTTTTCTTCTTTTTTTCTTCTTTTTTTCTTCTTTTTTTCTTCTTTTTTTGTTCTTACAAAGAAGAAGGAATTATAAGATGAAAAACTGACTAATAAGGAAAATTGAAATATATATTAAATATATAACTATGTATCTTTATCTAAAAATCTACGTTAATAAGCTAAAAATCTAAATTTATAAAATGGCGCTTTCAGCAACCTGAATGTCTAAGTCTATGTTGTTGTTTTTTTGTTCTTGTTTTCTTCGTTTTTTTCTTTTGTTTTTGTTTTTTGTTTTTTGTTTTGTCTTTGTTTTTGTTTTTGTTTATTCAGTTTTGTTAAACCGTTTATTCCTCCCTTCTAATCTCTGAGTGATACTCTATAGTAGAACTAACAAACATGTGGCACTAAATACCTTCTCTTCAATAGCTCTCATGGCTACCTAATGAAGTAGGTAGTTTCAATTTAGTTGCTTTCAGTGGCCTCGCCCGTCTCGTTTGTCCCAAAGGTAAGCGGCAACATAGAGTGCACAGATCAGCAAATTAGCAGATAAGCAGATTAGCTGTCTATCTGTTTGTCTGTTTGTCTGGTTAGTGGTTACTTGGTTCATTTGGTTGGTAGTTTTTAGAATGCAAAAGGCTTTGAGGTCTTATAAACAATTTTCTTAAATTTACCAACAGCCTGGTTAGTACGCATGCGTGAAATAGTAAAACCTCAGGGACTGCTAATAATTACACCATGTGAGGACTGCGATGCGGAGAAAATTGCAGAATATCTAGGAAATAGGTAAATATATAACTAAAGCCATGGCAGCCTGTGTTGAACGACTGTCATTGTTACTACGCATGCTCGACAAAATACCAGAGACCCGTGAAAACTGCTAGAAATTCAAGAGTTTGAAAAAAAWATATATATATATATTAGGCAAACAATCAAGAAAGCCAAACACAGGTGCTCAGGGAAAAATTATCGATGCTAAACAGCAACCAGATACGGATTGCAAAAAGTTGGCAATTAGCTCTAGAATATTCTTAATAATTAGGATGCATGTTATACGTCATAGCCGCCATTTTGGTTGATGATAACAAAGCATATCTCATTAGCTTCTGTTCTTAGATCAACCAAGATGGCGGCTGTTTAGCTGTTATTTATATCTCAAGGGATTTTGAGTCACGTGGTTGAAMMAAAAAAAAAAAAAAAAAAAAGGCAAAATGAATCGGGGACAGAAAAATATAAATCCAAACATTTGATCACCAGCGCTCTAGCTGTTAGAAAATATGATTCAAACTTCAGCATAGCAAGCCAAAATTTGCTTAGGGTTTCCCAAGGTTTCTGGCTTTTAATTGAGAATAAGCAGTACGAATGACAGGTCCTGGGGTCAAAAGTACCGTATTCAATATGGCGGGCATGTGACGTCACATGTCAACAGTAGCAACAGTAATTATACAATTTATTAATCACGTGACCATTGCTGCTCGTTTCAGGTTTACTTTGATAGAGAAGATAAAAATTAGCATTGAACACGGCAACGACGAAGACATGCATGTGCGTGACAGCTGTCAATCAAACGTCTTGATATGGACACGACATTAAAAAATGCGGTGTGTGGTTATTTCAATAAAGATTGAAAACTTACAAATCTGGGACCGATTACTAAGTTAATGATACAGTTTCTCATTAATCCCATATAGGTAACGGTCCAATTATTTTCTTAATTGGACAGGTCTTGTTGATATGGGATTAATTAGGCAGCTATATAATTAATAGGTAATGGGATTTCATGCTCCCCAATCAAGAAATAATTAGACTCGAAAAATTCCTCTGACTGCCAAATTGGACTCGGCCTACGGCCTTATCCAATTTTGTCAGTCCTCGGAATTTTCCTCGTCCAATTATTTCTTAATTGGACAGCGGCATGGAGTCCTATTACATATACAAATAAACAAAGCATATTTTCATAACTTATACCTGTTAATCGCCAAACAGAATCACATATATGAAGTAGAAGAGACCTCAAGGGACAACTGGTCTAAGTCTGGGAGAACATAGTGGCTTTTTCATCGAGAAAACGAGAAAACGTTCCGCCATTTCGTTTCAGTCACGCAACAGTTGCACAAAATGAATCGGCATAACACAGGAAGCCCAAATTACATGTAAATGATCATGAAGTATTTCATTACTTGTCTTATACCTGTTAATCGACATAAATAATCATATATGAAGTAGAAGAGACATTACTAATGGAAGACTGATCGCTACCCTGCAGCATAATCTCCAGCCAAATATTTCACGGTATGGCCCTCCCACACGCCGGCCAATAAGTGCTCAATATCAACATTCATATTAGCAAAGCAAAGCCATCTAGACTACAAACACTACTCCTACAATAATATTTCGAAACATTCTCTGCTGAAAAAGGCTTCCTCGCCTATTACTTCACTCCTATTACATGACAAATTTGTGAGAATTTGTGTGTCAAAAAGAGTCTACAAGATCAGTGATATTATCAAGTTTAATATACATCAGCAAATATAAAAAAAGTAATCAATGAAAGAAAAAACATGAAATTAAATAATACAACCCGTAAAACAATTACACTATTGGTACTCACTGTGTAATGGCCGTGCAAACACACAAAAAAATAATGGAGTTAGAGTTTATAACAATCCAAAAAGTAGTAGGCACATGCGCTTTATAAGCGCCTTTTTTGTTGTTTATTAACTGGGGGTTCAATGTTTTGCTCAAACTCAAAATCAAAATTAGGAAGCTCATAATCTTTGTTAGATGGAAAAGAAGCCATTTCTAGTTTTAAGTCACGAAACACTTTGCTATTTGCTACAGCTAGCGAACCAACGGTGAATTTTTCGCCGCTTCACCGTAAAAAAAAGTTTCTATGGGATATCCATTTTTTTCACATAGCAAATTAGCCAATCAGAGCACGCGTTGTATCTTGCCTATGTTATATTTTTAACATATAATTATCCATAAAATGCCTATATTTCTCCTTTTCGAAAAACTGATATTTTCACATGTGAAAATAACATGTTATAATAATAAAAAGCTTATTAAGTTGATTTTATGGATAATCATATACAATACAATAATACAATACAATACAATTTTATTTGGCACCTTATACTAATAGTACATGAGTGTTTGATTCCAAATATATTATAGGTATATATATATACTATGTATTAGGTAATTTTCGTATTTCATTTTCACGTATCAGCATACATTGATGAATGTATGCTGATATGGCTCTTTGTAGAGACGCTGATTTTGAATTGATTAAGAA